GAGAGAAAGAAAGAAGGAGAGAGAGAGAAGGAAGGAAGGAAGGAAGGAAGGAAGGAGGAAAAAAAAAAGTCTTTCCTGCTGGGAATATGGTGGAAATGTCAGAATTCTTTCCAGAAGAAGAAATCCAAATCCACAACAGCACATTGTTTGCATGTTTTTCTTAGCTACGTTTTCAGCCTTGGAAACTTTCATGCAGTGACTCCTGCCAGACTATGACATCCACCACTGGGACTGAAGCAAGCACCTGTGAGAAGCAAACCCGTGACCATGAAAATATCAGTCCCTGAGCGGGACAAAAAAAAAAAAAAACCCAAAAAACCCTTGTTTCATTGAGGTTGTGCCAGGCAAAGGCTGCAGTTTATCTGGCACTGCAGCCATGGCCAGAACGTGGTTTATCAGGCACTTAGGATTCACAGCATTGCTTTGACTCTTAAACACAGCTCCACTGAACTAGATTATAAAATATGGCTCTGTTGATTGACCCTCCTCACGTACATGGTATTATGTTTACTTCGATTACTGCACATGTTGTCTCAATATTGCAATCTCTTCTTGGCTTGTCTGTTTACTTTTTAGACCAAGTAGTATAGGTGAGTGAAGTGAGGCCAGTTTTAAGAAAAGTCAGTCAATATTATTTGTCTCTACCACTTCTGGTAGAGACATGTGCATAGCGAGTGATGTAACAAACACTCAGCCTCGCCGTGTAGACAACCCCCCTGGAATGGCAGGGATTGGAGCAAAATGGAAAGATCTTGTCCCATCCAAGGGCATGGCAGCCGCTCAGCAACACTTGAGTGTTGCCACACCAGATTGGAGTCCTGGTGGCAACAGATCCTCCACATTCTCTCGAGAAGCCGTACATGAAACCATTTCATTTTTAAGTGTATGTGCTGATGCGGTTTGTGAGTTATGCAGGGGCAGAAACTGTATGTTTTATCTTTCAATCCCAAGTAGTGCCTTATATAGTAAATCAATATGTTCCCCCACTTTCACATTATTTTAGTAAATTAAAGTGAACTAGGGCCTGTGTATTTTACAGACATGCATGTGGTCCATCAAGGAGGTGGCCACGTGGTAGTATTTTGCATATATGTTTCCTGTCAATGAAAAAGACTTGTGTATTAAATAGGATGAAATAAATATTGGAAAGAGAAAATTGAAGTACAATATGGATGAGAAATTTACAGAAACATTTGACCCTACAGAGTTTCAAGTTTTCCCACCTGGATACATCACATCCCAGAGGATGGAGAAAACACTGAAAAAAAAATCATCAAGCACCTTAATAAATATTTTAATGAATGAAGAAAGAACTATATCTAGGATGCTGGATACAGTTAGCCGAATTACAAAAGTGGTTACGAAATGGTTCCAACTGTGCCAGGTTGAAGAAGTTTTTATTGATCTATGGATAAGTGAAAAAAATGTAGACAATTATTGTGGATGGAATGTGTATATTTATTTGTCACTGGGTATATTTCTGTACATGAATGTCAACTATTTTTTTAAAGGACTAATTTATTTGAGAGTTCTTTCTACTCTTTGAATATTAAAATTATGATATTATAGTAATTGTATATATTAATATTTGTCTATTTATTGAATGGTGTTTATCAAAAGACTGTTAACTTTAGTCAGTCTCCAAAATTTTATTTAAAATTTTTCTTGATCCAGCGAGTCACAAACTCTGGGCTCTGCTGTATCGGGACCTCTCTAGAGTTCCTAACACTCACCTCTTTCTTACTCCACATGTTCATCTGTGATTGTGTTACAGTTAAGATGATACCAGCCTGGCAGGTGGATGGAGATTCAAAGTATATGGGATTGCAAAACGAGAACCTACGAAAGTCTTAATAGTTTGGAAAGATGGACCACAATTTACAGGATGAATTTTCAACAAATGCACAAATGCTGTACAATTTATTGAGAAATTGAAGACCCCAAGCCAACTACATGGCTATGTAACGGGGGAGATGCAGCCCCGTGTGAGATCTAGGAACCATTAATACGACTATGTTGGAAATTGTCCTGTTTCTCTCTGCCCTTGTCAGCAGATGCATGGATGTTGCATATGAATCTAGATGTCACTCTCAGGAAGGATGCCTCTGAGCAAAGTAGTGCTCATTCTGTGGAACAGGAGCAAGGAGGCAAAGATTCTGATCCATGCAGAAGAAGAATAAAATCCAGGATGTTTGGCCTGAAAATGGAGATCCAGGAGGATTCTTACCAGTATCAAATACTTGCAGGTACAGAGATTTTGTTTATGACATGAAGGGTAGAATTAAGAACAATGAGAACAACATATAACCTGATGAATGACCCGTTCGATATCACGGTCCCTAATGGCGAAATTCCAGACTGTAACTGAAACGAGTCACCCCCAAAGGAAGCTCTTGACAATTAGGAAATTCTGCACTTTGAGCTGGCACAGTGTGACGGGGCCCACCGAGAACTAAGAAGCTAGTTGGGCCAGTCGCTGGGGCCTCAAGGGGCCGATTGAGAGACTCAGGGAGAACTGTCCTCACAACCTGTAAGTGACCATCAGCGAGAGCAGAAGACTCTAGCCTGGACTCGGTCAAAACTTGTCACTGCATCTACCCTTGCTGAAGACCTATTTTGGAATTTCCTTTTTCTAGAGCTTTTTCCCTTCTTAGACCCTATAAATAAATAAAGGCACTTCTTTGGAGAAAAAAAAAGAACAATGGGCATGAGATATGGGAGACACACTATGGTTTGACGTTAGGAAGGGTTTTGTTAGAACAGTAGTGGTAGAAAAAGGAGAGCCCTGGGCAGGGGACCCCCCTGGCTAACACTGGAGGGTGATGAAGTCTTTGCCAGCTGTGGGACTCAATCTCTGAACCCACAGTTCACCCTGGAAGCCACGTGTTATCATTCCCATTCTATCCGTGCCACAGATAAACACGCGGCTGGTGTCTGAGTTGTGTGGAAGGCTGGATTAATGGGCTTTGCCTCCACTGCCTGTGGGCTGGGAAGCGAGTCACCTCGCATCTGGGAGCCTCGGCATCTCGTCTGTAAAGTGAGAGTGTAGAGCTCAGTGACCTCGTGTTGCTTTTTTCCCCCCTATTGCTTCTATAACACATTACGGCAAACTTCATGGCTCAAAACAACACAAATTCATTCTCTTACAGTTTTGGAGGCCAGAAGTCTGAAATGAGTCTCCCTGGACTAAAATCAAGGTGTCAGCAGGGCTGGATTCCTCCTGGAAGCTCTAGGGAAGAACCACTTTTCTTGTCTTTTCCAGCTTTTCTGGGTCACCCACATTCATTCCTTGGCTAATGAATTCCTTCCATCTTCAAGGCCAGCAGTGTTGAGTCAAGTCTTTTTCACATTGCATCACTCTGACCTACACTCTTCTGCCTCTCTTTTTCCCATTTAAGGACTATTGTGGTTACATTGGACATACCTGGATAATCTTTATAATTTTATTTTTTTTAAGTCAGGTGATTATCACATTAATTCCATCGGCAACCTTAATTCCTCTTTGCCATTAACATAACACATTTATAAATTCTAGGGGGTTTGGACATAGACATCTTTTAGGGAGGTGGCCATTATTCTGTCTACCACATCCTGTAAAGTCATTTTCAGTTTTATGGTCCTATAGATCCAGGAGATAATGTCATCTTAGGCCTGACTTGTTACAGAGGAATGAGACAATTCCTGGGCAGGTGCGTGGGGATGAAGTTAGTCAGCACTCATGGCATCCTCTTAGTGTCCCACAGAAACTAAGTGTGTACAATCCCATTTGTTCTTTCCAACCAGTCCTCAACCACAGGCCAAATAGTTTGATTTCTGATATCACTGAAATAGCAGTCAATTTTGCAGACGACTGGATGCCATTTGGTTACCAGTTTTGGGAATGGAAGTGTACAGAGCCTGGCAGACCTACTTCAGGGTGCTTGAGTGGTTTCCCACAGGGTGGACCCTGTTACGTGGCAGTCTATGGTTATTTAGCCTTACCAAGCCTTGATGACACCCTTCCTTAAAGATGAAATGGAGCCTACAGTTGCTTCCTTGCCTCTGACATCACTGTGCTAGACAGAGCAGTAATGTTAGAGAAAGTGAAGTTTACCCAACTTCCCTTCCCTCTGATTCTCTGTGACCAAAAGCACACCATAGAAACGTGCCATATGCTGCTCAAAAACAGGGCACAACTTTGCCTAAACAGCTAGAGAAAACCCTGGTTTACAACCTGTGATAGGTCATGATTCCAAGCAAGCTCATCCATGTGTTCTTTAGTAACATTTTTACTGGGGTATTTATGATCTTGACTTTCAAAGTTCAAAGAGGTTTGTGAACCTTGTTCAGAATAGAGGAGGGAGTAACACGGCAGACTCTTTTTGCAACACACAGCAGTTTTACTGGAAAAAATTATTGAAACAATCATTTAAAGAATCTGGAAACTGCCCTAAGGGCATACAGAAAATAGAGAAACGTTCATTCAAGAAAATCTACTAAATCTCGTAAGAACAGTGAGAGTCTGTGCATTTGAGCCACAACCCACTTCCTTTTTCTCCCCACAAGCTCCTTCTTATGAAAACGACTCCCGGAGCTCTGGGTCCAGTGAGTGCAGTAAAGAGGGTGGGGGCTGCCTCCTCCCCGTGGTCCCGACTAGGGCAACAGTTTCCACTGATGAGGACCAGGCTGCCAGCTTTTCACATCTCCCTGCGTCCGTCCCGTGTTGCAGAAGCTTTATTTCAGGCAAGAAAGAGAGGCTGAGAGGATCAGGTGTCTCTTCCCTCACAAGTCTTATTGATAAAATAGAAAGTACCCAGTTAGCGCAGGCCGAACAAACCCAGTGACCCAATCGCTCCTGCCCTGTTCATTTATAGGTCAGAGATTTCAGTCTGAGAGCGGCGGACCAAGGAGACTAAGGACCACCATGCCACGCTCCCAGAGATTGCCCAGCACTTACCGGTCAACCAGAGCTGTCACTCCGCAAGACGCAGGCCGCGGTCTCTGCCTCCAGCTCCTGTGCGGAACCGCAGAGGTTCTGCCCCGGGAGGGGCTGCGGAGAGGAGAGGCCAGACTTAAAGACAAAGAGCTTTACAGTTCTCCCTGAGGAAAACAACTTTGTGCGGAACAGAGTGTGGAGGACTCCATGCCTAAGGGCATTTTTGGGGAAAAAAAAGAGGAGATTTTGGTGAAAGTAATTAAAAGGACTCTCATAACTCCCTAATACAACTAGAAATAAGGAAAAATGACAAAGCAATTAGAAGTTTCATAGAGATAACCAGGAAAAGAGACACCCAAGAAGAGCTGTCCTGGGATCACAGTCAACCCTGCTGGCAGCGAGAGCTGTGCGCAGCTCTAGGCACTTCCGCTCGGGGGCAATCAGAGCAGGGAACAGGGCGAACTTGAAAATGTTCCCCAAGCAGCATACAGATTAATCAATAAAGGACAGAAGCCTCACTGGCTCTAGGACCTTAAGCACAACCTCTGACCAAGCCCTAATTGTGTAATAAACTACTCTTACCCACTAAGGCCACTCCTGGGATGGCAGGCTTAAAAATAAAATCACATGCACCCTTAGCAGTGTGGAGGCTGTGTGCATGCCCGAGACTGCGCCTTTTCAGAAGTTATCAGAGAGGCTAAATAGAAGCTGCTAAACCCTGGTTGGGCTTGGGGCAAAAACAAACTCCCTGAACTGCAATAACAGCCTTCAAGCCACGTGGACCTGCAAGAAAAAAGTGCAAAATTCTAACTGGCCAAAGATGGTTTAAGTGCCACCTTTGAATAACACGTGGCTTACACAGTCCCTGAGGCAACCCCTAGGTAGACAGGCTAAAAGGTAAAAACAGGAAAGAATATCTGACAGGGACATCAGAGGCTGCACACTGAGGCGAAGGAGACATCACAGAGTCAGATCAGTCAACTCAATAAACAAATACATAAAAGCCTAAGCAAACAGTGGCAACATTAACCCATGAGAGAGGGGATTAGCATCCAGAACTCACTATAATTCACTTAGAGTTTCTAATTTTTAGCCAAAAATTGTGAGACATGCAAAGGAATAGAAAAAGGTAACCCATTCACAAGAAATGGATGGATACATGTTACTACACATCTATCCAAACTCACGTACAGTACCAAGAGCAGACTATGGACTTTGGGCGATTATTGTGTGTCAGTGTAGTGTCATCAGTTATAATAAATGTGCCCCTCTAGTGTGGACGCTGATAGTAACAAAGGCTACACATGTATGGGGACCAAAGATACCTGGGAAATCTCTGTACCATCACCTCCATTTTTCTGAAAGCCTAAACCTGCTCAAAAAAATATAAAGTCTTAATAAAAAAGAGAAAGAGAAAGCGTCAATGAGTCAAAAACCTAATTAAAAGGCAGAGATTAGAGACTGGATGAAAAAACATGACTCAAATATGTGTTGTCTATAGGAGACATACTTTAGATTCAAAGATGCAGGTAAACTAAGAAGAAAAGAATAGAAAAAGATACACCATGCAAATAGCAACCATAAGTGACCAGGAGTGGCTATACGAGTATCAGACAAAATAAACTTTAAAACAAAAAATGTTACTATAGAAAGTGATATTTCATAGCGATAAAAGGTTAAGTCTATGAGGAAGATGTAGCAATCGTAAACATGTATGTCACTAAAACCAGAGCCTCAAAAATGCATGAAGAAAAACTGATAGAACTGAAGGAAGAAATAGACAATTCAAAAATAATGTTTGGAGCCTTCCATACCCCACATTCTGTAACAGGTAGAATAATGAGGCAGAAGAATGTAAGGTTGGTTTAACATACAGAAATCAACCAATATGATCCACCATTTTAACAGAATTAAGGGCATTCCTCCATAGAATCTAGAACCCAGAATTTAATGAGAATCAATATTTACATGACCAAGTTTCCAAAATGAAGTGTTCTGCTCAGGTCATTATGATGTACAAAGACTTTTTTCCCCTCCTTGATCCTTATCTAGCAATATTTAAAATTAAAATCAACATTTAAAGATTCATGTTACTTTGGAATGGTGTTCCATCACATATCAAATATCCTTTCTCCTCATTTTTGCTGAATTCACAGGTGGATGAGAGTTGATGAGAAAATTTGGCTTATAAATGTAAATCTTCCAGTTTCCTGAAATTTCCAGCATATTTCCTATTGTAGAAGTGGAATGTTTCTTTTATAAAGTTTTTTTATTAAATTTTTTTTCTATTGAAGTGTTGTTGATTTACAATGTTAGTTTCAGGTGTACAGCAAAACAATTCAGTTATACATATACATACATATATATATATTTTTCTTTTCAGATCCTTTTCTATTATATGCTATTACAAGAAATTGAATATAGTTCCCTGTGCTATACAGGAGGTCATCAATTTTATATATAGTAATGTGTATCTGTTAATCCCAAACTCCCAATTTATCTCTCCCCCCAGACTTTCCTCTTGGGTAACCATAGTTTGCTTTCTCTGTCCATGAGTATGTTTTTGATTTGTAAAGAGAATTTGTATCTTTTTTCTTTTTTTTGGACTATTTCTTGTAGTAGCATTACATGCAGATTAAAAGCCAGAAAAAAGCCTCATGTTTTGTTTTTCATCTGAGTTCCACAGAATCTGCCCTCTTAGCCATACAGATCTCAGAATCTGATAGGCAGCTTATGCCATAGCAGGTATTCAGCTATATCTTCGATTTATTGATTTATTTATTTATCGATTATCAGAGACAATATAGTTGCCTAGAGAAATAAATCTACTAGAGCCTTATCTTGGCTGGTAATAACTTTTTCCTTAGGTGAGTACCAACAATATAGTACTCTGTTTTCCAAATTACCTCCTTTCCTTCTGATTCAATATTTGTATTTGATTGATATATTAAATGGGCCTGCAGTTTGCTCTAATCTCTACTTTGTATTAATATGATGAAGCTATTAATAGTCTCTGGTGAGGAATAATGTTTTATTTAGACTTTCCCTCAACTAGTGAGTCTAGGAAAGATAGTAGTGAACGGCTGGTGTTAAGTGTTTTTGTCACCAGCACTATTTCATGCCCCCTTTTTGTTTTTGTTTTTCTTTGAGGGAGAGATGAGTAAGCCAGCTCTGGGAATCACTCTTTCCTATTCGCTTGGTAAGTGATTTGAGACTGACTCTACTCTTCACTCCATTCCACATTCTGGCAGTCGGATTTGGTTAAATCACTGGTTTGTCCCAATCTTCAGCCACAGTGATTGACATATTGGATTAGTATCCAATCAGAGGTTATGAAATGTGAGGGAACCTTTGCTGAGACTGATGGGAGGAAAATGGCTTCTTCCTCCCCTGAAGAGCATGGTGTGAAGACTTGAAGCCAAGACCTGCTGAAGCCATGCTCCTTACTCTGAGAGGGGAATCAAAAACTGCCAAAGGGACTAACTTTGAAGCCTCAGGATAATGTTATCACTGGACAGTGCAGAGCAGAGAGATGGAGAATAAAGGGCCTTTGGTCAAACCATCTGAGCCGTTGGATCAACTCTCATCTGAAATTAAATATATATATACATATACACAGGTTTTTAAATTATTAGTGAATATGTTTAATTTATATTTCAGTTAGTCTAATTCAGATTTTCTGGCACTTGCTGATGACACAGCTAAAGAAGTGATACTCAACTGATAAAGAAGTGAAAGCTCATTCATCAAAACTTTTTTTCTTTATTAATACACATAATGTATTTGACCATCAGGAAAACTTATCATTTACAAAGGTGTGTGTGTGTGTTTTCATTCAATCAGTGGTGTGATTCTTGTGATTGGGAAGCACAAAAAGGTGAAGAGTCTTATGTGAGAAGAGTGTGACCCTTGTAACAAACAGATGCTTGGTTCTAATCTTCATACTGTAGAGAACATACCACTTTGAAGTCCAGTGCTTTTTTTGATGCTGCACGTAACTGTTTGTTTGACACTCCCGTGTGAATTTCTTGGATACTATGCAAGCCTATTTTAGAGGCTTAAGTTACGTGCTCACAAACTCTCTCAATGTCCCTAAAAGGACAAGAAGTATTGGCATGCTGCTTCTCTTTGTTCACATTTGGACACTCCTTAATAGTGGGTCAACATTGGCAACTGTGTACATTTTCCGCAGATTGCTATAATTTCCTCTGGCCCTGGCACTTCAAATGAGCAAGGAGCAATTCTTTAAAAAAATTTTTTTTGATAAATGCTATACTTATGTTCCATAATAGACACTAAATTATAATCTATCATTTCCCCAATAAATTCTACCATTACCTACGTTGGCCTTCCTGTGACAACTACCCCTAACAGGCAATTCCATTTCACCTTTCTTTTCACTTTGGAAGACTAGCTCATTGTTTTGTTCTTTCCCTATGGTACACCATTAAAAAAGGTCAATTTTAGGAACTCTTTCAGCTGAGTACTTTTCCTCTTGTTCCTATTTTAAAAGACTGCAAGATTACATTTAATTTTTCAAAGAATAAGCATTTCTATCATTTCAAATCTGATTGCCTGAGCCAGACTTGAAGTCTTGGGCTGTATATACACAGTTTAAAGGGAAAAAGTCTTGGAAACCATTCATTTGATTTTATCAAAGTTTTTTTTTTCCCTCCGACAATTCTGGAACAGATCCCAATTACCTCTTGACTGATCCCTTGCAAGAATTTCCCCCCTAGGCCCCTCATATCCAGTCTCTCCTTTTTTTCAGAAAACAGGTGAATCTCTTTCAAGCATAGATCTGTCCTTTTCAGATCTTCACTCAAATTCTATCATTGTAAACTAATACAGTCACAATTTCCTAACATAGCTTTTAATTTCCTCCACTACCTTTTCCTCTTTACTGCTTGCTATTCCTCCGTCTAAAGAGTGAGGATGCTTCACCATTCATTGCCTCTCCAGTCCATGTGAATCCTTATACCTAAAATTATTTCCCTCCAGTTCAACTATAATGCTATGGAAGCATCCAAGCCTTCAGAATCTCTTCTGTCTGTACTTGCCTCTTCTTTCTGACCTCTCATTGGAAACGTCCTTTCTCTCTTTGACTTTAACTACATGGAAACGTTTTATTTTTATTATTTTTATATCTATTACTCTTAAGATTGTTATTTAAAACAAAACTTATTATTTAAGTTTTGAGTTATAATTTGTGGTGTCTTCTTGCTAAGGAAGTCCTGAGTTCCTCTAAGAAATGGTAATTCATTTTATTCATTTTTTTCTATTCTTTGTGGTGCCTGGTGAAGGAACTAAATAAGTACTCTAGTAAATTTTTAAATTTACTACCAATTCTGTGCAAACTTAATGAGGTTATGAAACAGCCCTCAACACTTTAAACTTTTAATTTTTTCACCAGCAATTAACTTCTCTATGCGGGAGAAGGAATTTCCTTCTCACTGAACGATGTATAACTCTGTGCAAAACCAGAATGAATTAGTGAAAAACATAC